TGGTGTGAGGAAAGCGGGGCTGCGTGGGGGGGCTGCCCACCGCCCCCCCCAGGTCCCGGCTGGGAGCCCCCGGCCTCCCCAGGCGACCCCGCCCAGCGATTTCGGGGGGGATAACCCGAGCTCCCTGCGCTGCTGCTCCTGACGGGGCAGAGCTTTAGTGGTGGTATGGGGAATAACGTCTAATTACATGGGCACCGGTGGCAGCCTCTGCCCATGCCGGAGGCAGCTGTGAAGAAACCTCCCTCCTCTTGCTGAGCCCGGCATGAGCCCGAGTTTCCCCGGGGAGAAGCCTGCTCCTGGCAGCTATGGGAAGCGGTGGCAGTCCCTGCCTGCCAGAGCCCACCGTGCACCCGATCCAGCCTGAGCTCCCCGACGGGTGCTTCGTACCGGCCTAACCCGCATCGACTCCCCCCGGCTGCCTCGTGACCGCCTCGCGCTTATGATCCCCTGCGTCCGGAGTCCGGCTGCTGGAAATGGATTGCTGTCAACGCTTTGCAGGATTAGGGGATGCAGGGGGATGATGCCTCCTCGCTTGCTTCCCCAAGTCTTGGCAGACCCCCGAGCACTCCAGCCCTATACATTGCCCTCATCTTCTTCCTCAAATCCTTGGAGGGGGAGAGAAGTTATACATCCCAGCTCCGGCAACACATGAGCCCTATTTACAAGGGACCCCCCAGTATTAAAAAAAAGCCCTATAAAAGCCCAGGCAACTGAGTGCAGACGTGGAGTGGGGCAAGTAAGTCCTGGTGCATGCCAGTGGCCAGCTCTCCAGAGCCTGCTCAGCTTTCCTACCTGGGGTGTTGTGGTCACCCCACCACGTCCCACCAATGCTGGTACTGTGTCTGCCTGGAGCCCCAGCACCTCTGGGGACACTCCCACGGCAGCGTGTGTGGGCCCATAGCACCCTCAGCCCCCCAGGGATGATGCTTCTTACAGGCGCTGCCCCTGCTCACCTTTTCTTGGCTGGTGCTCGCTCTTGCTTTGCTCTCCTGCTGGGGAGTGCACGGCTGCCTCCTGCCACCCTGTCCCCCCACGGGCCTCCAGCGTGTCCCTCCCTTTGCCACAGATGCCCTGGGTCGGGGCCCTGGGTCCCCGCGTGCTTCACTGCACGTGCAGTGGCATCTCACGGGATGCTGAATCCACACCACTGAATTACGCATGCCGGGCTGCCCTCCTGGCCAGGAAAAGTGCTGCTGCCGTTCAGCGCATTCCCCCAGCTCTTCCCCTCCTGGGAAGGGGCGCACAGGAGAAAGAGACTGCACGTAGCCGGGACGATGCTTCGCAAATGCAGTGGCGACCTGCTTGTATCCCTGTAACAACGGCTTTTCATCTCCAGAGAGGCAGCTCTCCTGCTTCCCAGCAGCAGCATAGTTGTTAGGCTAGTTTGTGACAACGTCCTCCGTGCAGAGCTCTGCTGGTGAACCATCCGCTGGGGAGCTCCAGTTATACTGGCTTTTAATGCCTGGGGCAAGGGGTAGCAGGACACCGAACTGGGAACAACCACGTTGGGATTTCTGAGTTGGATGCCCCCCCATGGTTCCCCAGGGCTTGGATAAATCACAAAACTTCTCTGCTGTAATTTCCCACTCACCGTTAGGAGAACAAAAATAACTCCCATTCCTTAGCACTGTTGCAAGGAATAGTGAGCTGCTACTGGTAGTGCATTCAGGTGATGCCTCTGTATTTTCACCAGCTCTGTGCTATCCTGGGTGTGGGGCTTTAAACATATTGAAACACCTTCAGCAAATTTGTAAAAAAATTATTTTTCATTAGTTTTCTTTCTTATTCTTAAATTCGGTATTTTTTCCCTAGTGCTGCTTTGGAAGAAACTAAGTGGAGATATGTTCAGAGGATTTTCAAGCTTTTATACATTGTTCTCACCTTCTAAGCCACTTGGCTAAGAAAAAGGATTATAGGCAACCTCATACTCATTTAGGGAAATGTATTTATCCATCTCTGTTCTTATCTTGGAAAAATCACCAGTCACTTTTCTAACCTGCATTTTCTCATTAAAAGGCACAGTGAAGTTTACACAGGTATATTGGAGGTAAACAGTTACTGTGGAAGGATACAACTCCCCCTGGTCTAATATAACTGCTCCTGTAATTAGGACTAATTGGCTCAGCCAGAGCATTTTGCTAATAAGGCTAAAATGCTTCCAGCACTCAAGATAGTAATCCAAATTTCATCTGAATGTTTCTGCAAGGCGTGCACTCTGCTCCACAGACGCATAAGCAGGGATCCTGTCGCTGACCTAGTGCTTTTGCCTTTCCCAACAGTACGTACAGGGTGAATTGCTGTGGATGCACTATCACTGGTGGAATCCAAGGCAAAAGATCTGCTTTGATATGTCAAAAGGAATCAGATATGTCATTTTTGCACAAAATGAGCTTGTGATGTGTCAGATAAGAGCAAATTTCAGGATGCATTAATAATAGATCAAATAAATATAAAACGCCACTTTGTCTCCATTGCCCTGTGGATGCTTCTTGGACTGGAGAGGATGAAAGAGGAGTGCCAAGGTGGGACTGGGAGGGAAAAGTAAGGAAGCATGAAAGAATTGCCTGTTGGGGTGGGGACATAAATGGGTGACTCATATCACCCTAGGGCAATATTACAAAAGCTCAACTAACTTTGGTTCTGTTGGTTATAACTGTTGACTCTGAGACTGTGTGAGAGAGACTGGGTTTGTTTCATTGGTACACATGGTACCCTGTTATTTAAGGAATATGAGAAGGTGCCAGCGCTGTGTAAAGACATGGGATATGTACAGGTGCCCGTCAGGGCCAGTCTGGGTCTCGAGATGTACAAACCGCCGTGTGTTTGACTGTACACCCTGCTTTGGGCTTCTGGTGACCTGAACTGTGATGGAATGTGGAACTTTTGCTGCGCTAGTGACTGACTGGGTGTAGGAAGCTGCTGCCTAAGGAGCCATGTCCTCGGACAACACCTCCAACTCTTTCAATGAGATATTGAATGGGGTCTAAAGGAACATATGGGACCTAAGTCAGTGCTGTTATCAGCACTTCCACTGAGTGGTAGGTAGATTCGCTTTGGACTTGAGGATACAACCATCTGTCAGGCTGAAGGTGGAACTTCAGTCTGAGCTTAATATTCTTACTGGAAGGTCCCTCTCCGGCCCGGGAGCCGTGTTCAAATGTACATTCTTGTTGACCGTTTCCTTTTACATCAGATGGATTGGAAAATCCTGGGGTCTTAATGTGTTGGTTTAAGATCAATAGATATGATCTGGTTTTCTTTGCAAAGCCTCACAGGCGACTGGGAGTGAAG